TTTAATTATAAAATTTGATAAAAGAAAATTTCATGGAATTTGATGATATTTTTAATTAAACAATTTTATATTTGTTGTTCGCATTCATCTTTTTATTATTTGGAAATTTGGACAAAATATTAATTGAACAATTTTATTATTGTCATCTTTTAAATTCATTGTAACGCGATTAGTACTATTTGAATGGATGTAATTTTTGAATAACAATAAAATTCATTAATACTAAAAGAGATCCATTATCATGAATCCTACTTGATGAAATAATTTTTGAAAATAATAGAATATCCAAATAAGGTTTTGAAAATAGATAGTAATAGGATAACAAATAAATTAAATGCTATAATAATAATTTAAACGGAGGGGATAGATATCCTTACTATTACTATAATTTAAATGGATAAGTTATCCGGATATCAATATCCATATTAATATTCATATCCGGACCCAATGTAGAATAGATGAAGATATATTGTTGTCTTGTTATTGGCTTTTATTCCCACCCCCTCAACTCATCCAATTATGATAGTAATATTTACAAAAAACTCTACAGTCTAAGCTCTCTCTCTATGACAAACTAAGATTTTGGTTCCGATTTTTTTATAACGAAACTTTATGGCAAATTTACATGAAAATGGCGCTCTATACAAAGGTCTGCAGATAATTCCATATTTGATTAGTTGAATTTTTTATGCACTGATGAAACAGAAAATGTTCCAGCATTGTTTCCTAATATTAATGATGATAAGAATGATATAACTGAAGTGACTACTCCTTCGCCTGTATACATAAAGACGTCTTGTTGGCAATAAAAAAATTTAGAACAATAATTAGACAAATCACAATTGACAGATAATGAATAAGAAGTATTGGAATTTAATTCAAAATAATGTTGGACGGTAAATCATATGGTGACCAGCACTTTATACCGAACAAGATTTGTTGGTTGAGAACTCATTGCAAAGAATTAAAAGTTGTACCCAATGAATAATATTCATTAAATATTCAGTGACAATAAATTAAAAGTGGATAATCAATATCTCGTGTAACTGGATTGAAATGAAATTTTCTCTTGTCCAAATAAATTTTCTATTTCTAATTAATTATTTCACTCCTATTCATTTAAAAATGAAAGAAGACATTCAATCACTATAGTAGTAAAAGTAATGATATAATAATGATCTTCTGCTGTTCATATTTTGAAGAAAAGCAAAGTAGGGATGATTCTAAGAAGCCAAGTCGGGTATGGAAAGATGACCCGTTTTTGTGGTAATAGATTTCCTGTTCACTACTAAATACTTGGGTGTGCCCAAAATGTCTACTCCAAGTGAGAGATTATTTAGTCAAGCTGGAAATACAATAACCTCAAAAAGGACAAAATTTAATCCACTTTTATTTGATAAGATCGTTTTTTGAAAAAAAAATTTTGATAATTTTTATAGATATAAAATAATTAACAAATTTAAAATTTTTTGTTAACAATGAACATTCACTGAATAATCAGAATAACTGAATATTTTAATTCAACAAATGATTATCCAATATTAAATAATGAATATTATTAATATTAACACTAATATGAAACGAAGAATATTTAGTGGGTACAAGATTTAATATTATTACTTGCATTATGACATATTTTGCAGATATCGTCGCTCAACTTTTTTATCAGGAGAACCTCCCATATTTTATATACATAATAATAATAATAATAAAGTAAATATTTATTTCAAGCCTTATATTTCATTATTATGTATAAACCCTAAATTTGGTCGGAACCGGTTTTGCTCGAGAACCCATACAGTGCGGACCATCTATGTTCAAAAGTTAAAATTTTGAATGTGAATCCACATTGAATTTTAAAAAACCCACCACCCCATTCAATTCAGCTTTAAAAAGGGAGTCTATTAATCTAAAAAAAAATTTGCCGCAAATTTTCTTTTCATAGATTTTTTAAATTCGAAAGTTATGCAATGATTTTCGTGTTACAATATTTTGAGTCTCATGACCAAATTGATAATCTTTTAATGTAATATGTGCGTTAAACTTTTTTGTTGTAAATAACTTTTATTTATTAATAAAAAAAAAGGAAATTCTATGAATAAAGTTGTTACACGAATTTATTTAGTGTGTAACAAAATTGGAGTTTTCAAAATGCCAATTTTCAGTTTAAGAAAAAACCAGCCGATAAGTTTTGAAGCTTGCAATAAAACTTATCGGTTAAATTTTTTAAAATGAAATAATTTTAGTATTCTGAAGTTGACCAATTGTTATTACTATAGATGATCTGCACTAATATATTTTTTATAATGTGCATGCTTGGTTAAGAATATTTAATCAAAAAACACAGCGGGTATTCAATTTTAAGGAATGATCGGCAATAATTACACTACATATTAATATGTTTCATATACAAACTGACCGTCATCCGACTTTAACTCGACTTTGCGTCACTAAAATCAATTTTGCGGCAATAACAACAACATATTCTGATTTCTCACCTTCTATTTTATAGACTACCAAAGTAATTGAGTAAAAAGTGAAATAATTCAGAAATTAGTTACAGAAGTCTTTTTTTGCAATTATACATTTCAAGGACTCAAACCGGTCCAATTTAATAAAGTGCTGTTTAATCAACGAAATAAACCAATAAAATAATCAACTCATGGAAAAATTATTCCAACATTCTGATGCTTTAATTCTAAAATTCTATTTAAAAGAAAAAATTCAAAATCATTTGTTCACTTTAAAAAGAGCTTGGGATTATTCTTAAAGGAAGGTCTTGTTTATTTAAGGAATCTTTAGTTAGAACGAATTAAGAGTTCTTGGAATCAATAATCAATATTATAAATAATAATAAGATACATGCGATAAAATTCGTTTATGTTGGTAAAAACCACTTCCATGATAATAGTTGTTGATTTATCGATATTCAAAATTTAAAGATCCACGTTACACTGGCACAACAAAAAAATGATTTACTCCAACAAATTCTAATTCCGATCAACAATATATTGATTACCCTTTACGCTCTTTATAAATGGCAAAACACAAATACACCAATCAATTGGTCAGTCATACAGTCAAATCTTGTCACAGCAGATAAACGAGACACATATAAAATCCGTTGTGACAAGGTTTGACTGGACTGCATACAGAATTTTGTTTAAAATTCTTCCATTATTTAATTATCACCGAAAATAATATCTCACACTTACCATGGCTCATTATTCACGTCCCAAATTTGAAATTCTCCACAACATATTACCCACAATAAAAACTTAATACGTGACTATAAATTCTACTCCCGCCCAGCATTAATTGTCTACCGAAAATACCACTCATCTATTTTCCTTCCAAGCTAACTCACGATTCCATGGCCAACAATCCAATACTCAAATCTTAAATTGGCGCACATTTTCCAAAATCATACAAACTAGACAACTACTACAACCTCTATTCCAATCTAACTTCAACCATACACCGCCTGTAATTCTTGAAGCTGGAGTATTCCATCAACTCTAATCAACTTTTTATATCTAAATATTTAATTTTCATAAAAAAACTTTCTCGTCTGCGGTTTGATAAATTTTTGCTATAAGAATATTTGGTTACCACGGTGTATTTTATTTAACTCATGATTAAAGTAAATCTAATGTTGTTGTTTGACGAAATGTCATCAAAGCTGTAAAAATATCGCGCCAAATTCGCAGCCATTAAGTCAAAAATGACGCAAGTAAAATTGCTTTAAAGGCTAATAAAATATGAAAGCTCACAAAAAACATGCAAATATATATTCCAAGGTCTTCTATTCAATTTCTTATTTTTATATTTTTGTTATGTATCCCAATCTAAAGGAGCTAAATTCTTCTTTACTATTCCTTATATTATTAATATTAAATCAAGGTCAACTAATTTTAGTATTAGTGTAGACTAAAATTATACATAATAATAATTATCAAATGAAAATTTACGCAAAAGCTTTATCAAATGGAAGTTTTTATAATATCAACATACATTGATT